TCTCTCTCTCTCTCTATCTATCTATCTGTCTATCCTTCTATCTATCTATCTATCTACACACCCTAACAAGCAGACAGTGAAGTCTGTACAACATGCACACAGGATCTCCATCTATCTGTCACATGACGTCAGCGTGAGTAGGAGGACCCCTAGGGTGAGACTGAAAGACTCACATAACCAACATACCCGGATAAACTGATAATAAAGTTCTGGCATACCAGATAACCAAGTACCGGACAACCGTACGGTAGGCGCTTCTGAGGCTGTCTCGTTTATGATTATACTGGGTGGGAGGGTACAGGGAAAATAAGGGGCAGGGGGATAGGGAAGGGAGCTGAGGGAAATACTAGAGTAATTTCTTTATACCCAACTGTATTTATGTCCGTATTAGACATAGCACGTGCGCGCTCATGTGACCTTATGCAGTTGTCAGGGCCGTAAAACGCTTACGTAAACTAAAGTACCATAGCTGTGACAAATTTTTCTTTTAAAAAATGATGCAAAGGATACAAATAACAATATGCCGTCCAAAATGGGCTCTTTATAAATAACATTCATGCCCCTATAACCACAACTTGGAATTTGATATTATAAAATTGCATCTCCATTAATTTGTCGTACACGATAACATTGGGGTGCATTTTATTTTATTTTATTTTATTTTATTTATTAATTTATTTTTTTCAAAATTGTAGTGTCATATCTAAGGACACTTCTTTCCTAGACGAATATTGGCAACGTCAAAACAAAAGGGACTCACAGCACACTCCTTCTTACCAACAACATTCGGCCAGTAAAGGGAATAATCCAAAATGTGTAATTCAACATTACACATAAAACCCCAGGGAAAACATTCCTTATTAGAGAGACCGGATGGGGATTATTTTAATCTTATAAATACAAATTTAAAGAAATTTGATGTCACATTTGGAAGAAGTTGTTGAATTGTATAAGAAGTTTTGAGCAATAAGTCGATTTACGGTTAAAATCGAAGGCCTATATACCCCAACCCCTCCCGTCACTCCCACAAACACCTAGAAATATATATAATTCTAAAACTAAAGAAGCAACAAGAG